TTATTGACCTTGTCACTTAAAACCGGAGAGTCGCTCCTCAACCAAGTTTCTTGCATTTCAGTTTGGCAGTGGGCATAGCAGGAGTTTATATAGTATCCTCTTGATGTAAAGGCACCCAGTCCAGACAGTGCATTTATGAACTCCGTTCTGAAACCTAAAAATCATAACGGATATGAAACAATATTATTTTCTATGCAAGCAAAACACCAGCATTTCTCTTGGATTTCTGTATGGTTCTACAATTAAAAAGAGAAAAAAAAACACAGTTATGACTGGCATAACATCTATGATTGGATTCAAAAAAGCATAGGATTCGGGCAATTTTCCGAAGAAAATACTCAAATAAAGGGCAGAATATAAGAAATAATACGAACATTCAGTTACAGTAAGGAAAATCAAAACTAAATTCAATTTATATTCTGCTTTCTTTTTCGTGATCTACTGAAAGTTCGGACTGTATAGGACGATGAATTTAACGAAAAAATCGTAGTAACCTTGCATGATTTGGAGTTGGCTGGGGGAGCATTTTTTAATATCAATCTTGCAATTGTGCCAGGTACCATGTGGATCAGCAACCCCAGGAGCCAAAATATTCTTTATCTGGAAATAATAATAATGTCAAAAAGAGTCGAGACCATAAAATCAAACGACTGATAGCAACATAGGAAAAAGAAAATGACACCACATTTTATTTAACCAATAGCATATATATTAGCTATTCTTGAAAGCATTCAATTAATGTGTCAAAACATTCGGCGAAAATTCGGGAAGCTGTTGCCGAGATCTATAAGCTGAGAAAGAAAGTTGAAGGCATCTATTCGGAGCAAATATAACCATCAAAATGTTGGTGTCTTTGAGAGAAACTAATACGCACTAACCTGCCATGAATCATACGCAGCATTTGTAATGAAAAGCGGCGTTCGAATTTGATGTGCCATGTTTTGCGGGAAAAAACACTGAAATTTTTAATTGATATCAGCATGGAAAGAGCTATGTCACAGCAGGAAAAGGGAAACCATCCACTCAAGAAAATTGCTCTTACCAAACTTGGTTTCCCCTTTGAAGTACACGATGAGGGCAAGTTCTTCGCCGATCCCTACATCCAAGGTCAGTGAAGAAAATATATTAGAGAACGATCAAACTACTGTTATGTAATTCAATTTTCATATTTCCATTCGTTCTTTCGCTACGAAAAAAATCACACACATGTGTCTTGACCACATCATCATAGAAATCCTCGATATGCGGTGCTCCAGAGATATCCTTCCTGTTATAGAGGATTAGAAAAAAACATTGGATCAGCACGAAACGAAAGAACATGATTCTTGTTCATATCAAATTATTTCGTCTGGGTACGATGTCCAATATGAAATCTTACGCGTTAATAAAATACCCAGCATCCGCAAAACACTTCACTTTAGCAGCCATGGGAACAAGAGCTTTGAAGTTATCACAATGCAAAATCGATGTTAATCCACCGGCTGAACATCCAGACAGAACGGCCTACATAAGAACACTTAAGTTAACAATAGAAAGGAAGATTACAGTCAAAGTTGGAGGAATAAATTAAGCATAAGAGAAAATCATACATTTTTAGCGTTCTTCATTCCTTTTTCTAACAAATCCTCGATGATAGCAACAAAAACCCGCGCTCCTCTGAAGTAAAGTTTAGTAGCCTGATCGAATATCGACCCAAAAATCAGAAGTTTCCATAAAGATTCGAACAACGAAGAAACTCACTTTATGTTTGAAACTTGCCATTTATTATATCTAACGCCTTCTAGAAAGCTAAATAGAAGCTACTGTTATGACTTACAGGATCTACTGCTTCTATATCTCCAGTAAATGATGCTCCATCACAATATCTAACCTTGATCCTATTCCAATTATAGAAATCTGGAAATTCAAATAGAGACCGTATTTATTAAAGATGACAATGAAAGATATAAAAGTCTTGAAAAAATCAAAATCAATAAAAAAATGAGAAATATACCTGGGTTAAACTTTAGTTTGTTGCTCAAAATCCCAGAAAATACGACCTGCTTAACCATTTGCTTTGAGGAACCTAAGCGAGTGTCTTTACGGGCAAGGCAAGTTGTGACATTGTTGCACCATCCTCCTCCCTGGACATGAAGATTAACAGATTTTGTTAAGTTATTATGGAGGATGAAAATTCATTCCTTTTTTTTTTTTAATGCATAACTTGGACGTGGCCTGTGAAAAATCTGGATGAAAACCATTCAAGAAGACAAAGCCATACGAAATAATAAAAAAAAAGGCTTATTGGCACAAAATGTTCTTACGTCTGGCCTCTAGAAAACATCGTTCCCGTTTCAATTTTTTACATTATCACTCATATCTTCACGTTGCATCATGAAGAACGTCATTTTCATCAATTTTTATATAATTTCTTAATTAAAAATGTAAAATGACAAATATACCCTCCTATTTAAATAAGATAACAAAAAAAGAAAAAAATTAATTGTTTGTAAATTATAACCAATTTTTTTCTGTGTCATCCACGATCTCAAACTTTTCAAACTTTATTTTCCTTCCCAATCCAAAAAAAATCATTCCCTTCCTTCACCAATTCTCTCTAGCCTAAGGGCGATTTTTGCCCTCTATGGAGCCACCGCACTTCAAGTCTCCTCCCACCACCTTGGCCACAGAAAATCAACCCTCATGTTGGCGGTTTCATGCCACCTATAATCTTCAACCAATCTCCAATCCAAACAACTATTGAGGCCAAAATCAATCAAAAACACACCATGGTTGCGCACGGGTTAGCAACCAAAACCCAAACCTCCAGTGACTTTTATTGTCGCAGACCACCATCGATCAGGTAGCCTCACCGTGGCGACCAATTCCATAGAGCCATATCTGAAAATACAAGTCCTAACACTACTGTACATCCTCAGGATCAAGCCATAATCACAAGCCTTTAAAAGATTTAGATGATATTGAAGTGAAATTGAGCTCATGGATTTTGGAATCTTTGGTGGATTTTTTTGTAGACTTTATTGTAGAAAGGGAGGGCCGTTGGTTTTAGGATCTTTGGTGGATTTGTGGGGAATAAAAAAAGGGAGAGAGCCATTTTTATTTTTCATTTGTACTTTTTAACAAGGTTTGGACTTATGGTTGAAATTAATTCTTTATTTTTCTTTTTTTTTTATTTAAATATGAGGGTATATTTGTCATTTTATATTTTTTTAATTGAGAAATTGAATAAAAATTGATAAAAATGACGTTCTCCATAATGAAATGTGAAAATATGGGTGAAAATGCAAAAATTTAAAACGTATAGACTTTTTGTACCAAGAAGCCATAAAAAACAGTGGGTTTAACTTTTTGGACTAAAATATTCAATTTTAATGGGCTCGAGTATTTGGCCAAATATCTCGCCTTTCCGTGGATGGCAAAATCAAAGGTGAAATACTCAGTTTGATTGCCAAAAATGCAACAAAAAGAAGCTAGTTTTATTCTCGATAATTTAATCAATTGTATCGTGACGTTTGTTAATCTCAACATCATCATTTTTACTATGTTTCAAACACAGTCACTACATAATAAAATAAAATAAAAAATTAAGGTAACTACTCTTATTTCCTAGGATGATATAAAGTATAATCTTTCAATGAAGAATCAGTCTACAGATATAGAATTGATACAGAAATTTGAAATGGACAGCACAGATTCAAATATGAGAAAAACACACACACATGTGGCAGCCTCCTGTACAAATTCTGTGAGTTATTCCCATGTACTTAGGGAATAACTCTTGAAAGATCAAGTCTGCCGCAATAAAAACAATATTTTAATAGCTTATGAAAAGAGGACTAACCTCAATATGAACCAACC